ACCCATGCAAATAGTACTAGTAATTAGTAGTTAATTAGCAAGAACACAAAAGACACTTTTTACAGTTAGTATTAATTTTACTATCAAGATCTAACGATCTGATTAGTTTTTTAAAAGATTCAAACCTTTCAGCATTACGTATTGTTTTATCAAGTTTAGACCAAATTAGAGGTCCTAAATACCTCAAGCTATGCTTCCCATATGTTACTGTATTAAATCTCGGTATGAAAAATTCATTGTTTCTAAGATTATAACTCTTAGTGTTCTTGATAAAAATGTCCTGCAGAGTATTTGGGCACATTCTATTTTTAACTTTATACATAATTTTAGCTATATCCTKTAATCTCCTGTTCTTTAGTGTAGGTATCTTTGCCATAGCAAGTAGATTCTCATATGTACATGATTTTTGCGTTTTCTTGTTGAAAATCGCCCTTAACGCTCTTTCTTGCAAACGTTCAAGATGAATGAATGATTTGTTTATTGGAGCTAATTTTGCAGTCCGAGGACTGAATTGACATAGCTGATTACAATTGTGCACCATATTTATAAGTTATGAAATTTGCAAATCGATTTGTGCGAACTGGTTTTAAGACACTGCGCACCCCGGATCTTAGAGAATATGTAGGGACCCTGGCTACATGCAGACTACTTATAAGACCATACAAGGGATTGTCCGGGTTAATGTTGTTGTTAAACTTGCTACAAGCCTCTAATCGACGGCTTCCAAGAGATGTCAAATCGGCTTTTGCTAGTGCTTGATCGTAACTAGCATCAGGAAAAATTATTGCCAAGGCTCGTTTCTGTACCCTCTCTAGAATGTTACAGAGATATTCAGGAAGATCCGCAAAAACTACACTAGCGTACTCTAGGATTGATCTTATCAGAGAACAATACACTTTAACGATATCACTGGTTGAAACTCCACACTTCCTGAGTTGTCTTAAGGCATAAAGGCGTCTGTTGGCCTTCTTCACAATATAATCACAATGCGCCGTCCAGGTGAGATCCTGCGATAAAATAACACCGAGCAGCTT